CCAACCCAACCCAACCCAACCCATCCTAAAAAAACCTCCCCCAATTATATTACCTTGGTGAAAAGCTTCACATCAACTAAATAAGCAAGTTTTCTTCACATCTGTTTTTCTTTCAAGTAGTCAAGTGTAGTCATCTATTAGTTTGTGTGCAAAGGTTGGTTTCATGCTCTCTTTTTTTATAATATTATGTGGGACCCATCTTCATTAAACATGCCATATTATCATATGTTTATTTCATTGCAAGTATGAATATGACTGACAAAATGAATTTGTTGTGTAGTGAAATGACTTGGTGTTGTTTGGATTCAAGAAATGATTTTCGTAGGATTTGGATTTCGTGAAATGATTTTGAAACATTATTACATACAAATCTTATGAAATCCTGTGAAATATCTACTGCTCTCATGGGATTTCTAAATCCAGTGTTTGTGGAATTTCAATTGTTGACTTTTTTTTTCTTTAAATCAAATATGGGATTGGAATGAAATCCAGTAATAAATCTCATCAAATTCTGTAAACCGAATGGACCCTTTGGGGGCGTTTGGTTTTGATGGAATGGTTTCGAGTGATTTGGATTTGATAGAAGGATCTAAAATTGGTTGGATTTGGATTTGGATATGGAAGGATCTTGGAATCTTTGATATGTTTGGTTTGTGGGACTTTGAATGGAATTGGATCTCATTCTTTATTAATAATTTACAAAAATAAATTAGAAAATATTATAAAATTATTTTTTATTAATTTATTATTATAAAACAGGTGTTTTAATATATTTCAAAACATTATTATAAACATATTCTATGAGATTTTGTAAAATACGGACTACCCCCTTGAGATTTCAAAATTTTCATGTTTGTAATGAAATCTCGAAATTTCAAAGATATGCAATTCTTCAAAACAAATATGAGCTTGAAATAAAATTTAATTCTAAATTTCTTCAAATCCAATCCGACAAACCAAAATGGTAGGTCTCGTTTGGTTTGTAGGATTGGATTGGTTTTGAAGAGATTTAGAATTGAATTTCATTCAAACTAAACCTATGTTTGTTCTGAATGATTTCCTAAATTTGATTGGTATTTCACAGGATTTTATAGAATTTGTATTTAATAATATTTTAAAATGTAAACACAATTGTTTTACAACAATTAATTAATAAAAAGATAATTTATTTATTTTTATAATTTGTTTTTATAAAAAATTGAAATCCAATTTCATTCCAAATCTTTCAACGAAATCTGAATCACTCAAAACCGTTTCACCAAATCAGTGTATAGTTTCTTAAAAACATCTGCCTTTTTTAAAATACCGTGAACARTTTCTGTAGGCTGAACGCCTTTATAATTATACTAAAGAAAAGGTTTTRGATAATGTTTGGTGGGATGGAAAAATGACATCATAAATTAGAAAATGAGGGTTCAATTATGTGTTGAGATTGGATAATTGGTCCCATAGTTCTTGTAGATCATTCCCATTATCAATATACAATGAATCCCCATCATACAAAAACCAAGAGCAAAGTACAAACATTGTACTTGGTCTGACTTGTATATGTTAAATAATTATGTATTCTGTTAAAATCAAGTCAAATTTTATGAGTAAAAACTTGAATTTGACTAAAGGGTCTGTGGTCTAACGATATCATAGTCTTTGGTCTCTTAAGAGGTAATGGGTTCAAACCTCACTATAAGTGAGGAGAGTGTGTAAGTTTATTTGTTATATATATATATATATATATAAGTGAGGAGAGTGTGTAAGTTTATTTGTTATATATATATATATATATATATATATATATTATATACTTCAAAAAAAAACTTGAATATGTAATGTATAATGAGTTTATCTGAGTTGTTTGTATTTTTATGTATTTAGTCGATGTTTAATATGAAACCAGATTAAGCTGTTCGGGACCGGTTTGGGACCGGTTATAGGTTTGGCCTGTGATCAGCCCGATATTTTTATTAAAAAATGTATTTTTAAATGTATTTCTAGTTTTCTAAGTGTATTTGGTTGAAAATCG